GCCGGGTGGGATCCACACAGGCTGAGCCCCCCGGCCGTGCCAGGCTGAGGAGGAGCAGGGACAGGGGCTGGGGGGCCGGGCCTTCCCGCAGCCGCGCCAGGCCCCGCAGCAGCGCCATGGCCGTGGGGGTGCCCAGCTCCCCTGCCAGCCCCAGCGCCTCGGCCTCGGCCTCGGCCGCGCAGCCGGCCCCGTTCAGCGCCAGCGCCAGCGCGGCGCGGGCCAGGGCGTGGGGTTCTGGTGGCAGCCGGGAGAAGCCGGGCAGGGCCTTGGGGCCCAGGTCCTGGCACGGGACGCCCCGTTTCTGGGTCAGGATGGGACCCGCCAGCTCCGCCAGCAGCGCCCGCAGCCGCTCACTGGCACCCGGCCCGGGGTCCGCGTCGTCACAGAGAGCGATGGTGGGGCTGAGGAAGAGGAGGGGAAGGAGGAGCAGAACCTGGGCCATGGCGGCAGATCCAGGACAGGCTGTGGAGGCGGCAGAAGGCAGAGCCCCATCAGCCCCCTGCGGCCGCAGCCCCCCGTGACCCCCCAGTGTCCCCGGCTCACCCACTCGCTGCTGTCACCGTTCCTGCCCTGGCCAGATGCCAACGTCCCTTGCCCCGCTGCAGCCACAGCCGCCCCCGCGGCCCCTTTATAGCCCCTCTTATCAGGGGGTTGCGACACGCGGGGCCCCGGTGCAGGGACAGGGACCAGGGATGGGGCACTCCCTGTGGTCAGAGCGGCTCGACCCCCCAGCTGCAGCTCCCCCCAGCCCCACTCACCAGGGAAGGCCAACAGTCACGTTTGTTTATTTGGGCCCTGTCCAGGTTTAAAAGCTTTGAAAGGAAAACAAACCCAACCAGCTGAGGAAAAAGGAATTTGGGGTAAAACGGGGAGATGAAGGCACCAAGGGAGGGGGATGGGGGAGCAGCAACTGGCTGCTTGTGCAACCCTTAAAAACTGGATCAAAACCTGCAGAAAACCCCAGAAAACCTGCAGAAACCCCAGAAAACAGCCCAGGGTCTGGGCACAGGCGGACAAGAGAAGCCCCTCAACCCTCCTCCTCATCCTCCTCTTCCTCCAGGCAGCGGACACGCTTCCGCCTCCCCCGGGGCTGTAGGTCCTCGTCCTCCTCATCCTCCTCGGAGCAGGGGGCTGCAGGAGCCAGCCCAGCACCTGTGGGTGGAGGAAGAGGGGAGGGAGCTGAGCCCCCAGCCAGAGGGTGAGGGGAGTGGGGGTACACCTCTGCCCGTCCATCGCCTCCCCAGCCCAAGGGACGGGGCAAAGGGGATGGAGACTGGACAACCACGACCCAGCAGTGCCCTGTGCCCAGCTCCTGGTGACACCCAGAGCCCCTCAGCCCCACAGGAGAGAGCGGAGGGGCTGAACCCACCTGAGCTCCCGCCATCCTCATCCTCACTGTCGAGCTTCCGGCACCTCTTGGTGCCCGACTGCGCCGGGCTGGGGACAGGGACAGGGACCAGCTCCTCGCTGCAGCCATGGGGACAGGGGTTGGCACCACTCAGCCCAGCACTGGGAGAGTGCAGGGGACCAGATCCCCTCCCCAGGCAGGGGGAGGACCCCCCAGATCAGGAGGAAAAGACCCCCAACTTGGGGAGAGGATCCTCATCTCACCTCTCTGAGTCCAATCCCAGCTCTGCCGGCAGCTGCTCTGCTGAGGGGCACAAGGAGAGCGGCTCAGGGCCGTCCCCACTGGTGGGGGCCCCACACCCCCAGCCCGGCCCCTCACCTGCACATGGGTCCTGGGGGCACTTGGGTGGCTCTGGCGGGTCCTGGGGGGACCCCGAGGGGTCGGGGCCGTGGTGGGCAATGGAGGCGGCCGCACGTCGGAGCTGCTGCGGGGTGAGGGAGGCTGGGATGCGCCAGAAGGATTCCTGGGAAGAGAGGGGGGACGCTGCAGGGCTGTGCCAGGAGCAAGGGGACAGGGATGGGCACAGGGACAGGCACAGGGAGCTCACCTGCTCGCTGGCGGGGGGCCGGAGCCCCAGCTGCCGCAGCAGGGTCTGGAAGCGCCGGCTCTCCATGGCATCCTCGTTCTCCTCCGTCAGCGGCACCAGCGGCACCGGCTGGGTCGTGCCTGTGCCGAGAGCACCGTCAGCGGGACCCTCTGACCCCACAGCCCCCCCGGACCCCCACCCACTCACCGTCCTCCTCGCGGTCCTGCGCCGCCCTCCGCAGACAGTTCTGCAGCCACCGCAGGGGCCCGGCCAGGCCTGGGGACAGCAGGAGGTGACACAGGGTCCGGCCCTGGAGCCAAGCCCAGCCAGGGGGGGTCAGAGCCCCTCACCCACCTTCCTGATGCAGATGCTGAGCCAGGCCCTGCCCAGCCCCTTCCTCGGGCGCCCAGTTCTCCTCCATGGGGCCTTCGTCCACTTCATCCTCCTCGTCCTCCTCCTCCTCGCTGTCCTCATCCTCTGCTGAGCTGTCCTGGGCTGGCACAGCCGGCATGCCGGCAACAGCCTGCGGGAACCAGCCGTGTTCGGGTGCCTGGGGTGGAGCAGCACCCACGGGGCACAGCCCAGAGCCCCGCAGCCCCCCTTCTACCTGCCCGGGGCCGTGGCCGTGGCTCTTCCTCCGGCGTTTCTTGTACAGCTCCTTGCGCTCCGACACCAGCCCCAGCCCCAGCAGCTTCTCCACCACCCGTGCCCGCGACCGCCGCGCCGTCAGGTGCTTCATGATGTTCCCCAGGACATCTGCGGGGCAGGGGGTCAGGGTGGGGGGCTACAGGGGGGCCACCCCCCCATTTACCCCAGCCCCGCTCACCATCCGAGCCCCGGAATTCCTCAAAGAGCCGCGTCAGCTCCTCCTCCTGGTCCTGCGTCCACAGCACGATGCGGGTGCCCTTCCTGGGGGAACTCGAGGCTGTGGGTGCCTGCTCCAGGGTGAGGTGGGTCCCTGCCCCAGCCCGGGGGTCCCCCGTGGGGTTACCTTACCCACCTCTCCCGCGGGAAGTCCCTGGCACTGCTGGCCAGCCCCATCCGCACCAGCTGCTTCACCACCTGCTTGCGCGTCCGCCCGGGGGGCGGGAGATGGGCCAGGATGGCAGCGATCACGTCCTCGCCTGCGGGAGCAGAAGGTGCAGGGACAGAGTCCCCGCTGCCCCCCAGGGGTCCCCACTGCCCCCCTACCCCTGGGTCCTCCAGTACCTTCCACCTCCTTGTACTTCCAGTAGAGCTCCCGCAGCTCCTGCTCTTCCTGGGGGGTCCAGGGGTGGACCCGGCTCCTGGGAGCCCTGGGCCGGGGCAAAGGGGAAGTGAGGGGAGATGGGGGGGCACAGGGGGAGGTTACAGCCCCCTGCCCAACCCCACTCACCCCTCTCCCTCCTGCAGGGAGCTGTAGCCCCTGGTCATCTCGTAGACGGTCGTCGGGTTCTTCCAGAAGAGCAGCTCCACAAAGGCCTTTTTGTTGGTGGCCGCCAGCGCAAAGAACTTGCCCAGGATGAACTTGGCCAAGGTCACCAGCTCCTGGGGAGGGCAGGAGGGACAGTGGGACTGGGGGACGTGGGGACAGAGCAGGGCTGGGGACACGGGGACAGACCCCTCCCCGGGGGGCTCGGGGGGTCCCCCTGACCTGGTGAGCGCCGGCCGCAGGGTCGCTGAGCAGGCGGTGGAAGAGGGCGAAGAGGGAGAGCTGGAAGAGCAGGGGCTCCATGTGCAGGTCGCGGGCCAGGCGGTGCAGCAGCCGCGCGGCGCAGTGGTTGGTGCGGGGGCTGTTCCGCGCGTACCCCCGGAGCAGCAGCACCAGCGCCCGCACCACGGGGGCACAGGCGAACCTGCCACGGCCCCCCGTGAGTGTGGCTGCCCCAGAGCGGGACCCCCCCACACCCCCAGGGGCCACCCAGCCCTTCTCACCGCTTCAGGTAGTCGAGGAAGTTGAATTCCTTCTCTGACACTTGCACGGTCTCCTCCTCCTCTTCCTCATCCTCCTCTTCCTCGTCCTCCGGCTCCTCGGGCTCAGGGGGTGTGTGCCCTGCGGTGAGACGTGCTGAGGGTCTCCAAAGGTCTCCCTCTTCTGGCCCAGAGCTCTCCCCCTCCCCGGTGTCAGAGCCAGGGACTCACGGGGCAGGGGAGCCACGAGGATCTCCCGCAGCAGCCGGGTCTCCTCAGAGGGCCCTGCATCAGCAGCTCCGAACACGTCCCCTTCGGGCCAGACGTCCCTGGGGGGGACAGGGGGACAGGTTGGCACCGTGTCCCAGCACCCCGGACACGGGATGGGAATTGCGGTGCCGGTACCTGGCAGAGCGGAGCAGCCTCAGGGCCTGGGGCACCTGGGAACGCCACAGGCACTCCTGGATCCGCAGCAGAGCCTCTGCGCGCTGCTCCTCCACCGGCGTCTCCGAGGCGGCGTCGAAGGGCACCACGTCCTCGGGGAGGGGCACCTCGCCCTGCGGTGGAACACCGTCACCCCACGCTCCACCAAGACCCCCAGAGCCCCCCACAGGGCTGGACCCTTCCCTGGTACCTCCAGGCAGGCCTGGAGCTGCGGGGCCAATCCTGCCCACAGCTCCTCCAGCTCTGCGGTGCTGGGTGGCGGCGGGGTGAGGGCTGCGGGCGCCCGCGGCTTCTTCTTCCTGCGGACGCGTTTGCTCTGGGGGGGGACAAGGACGGGCTCAGGAGGGGCTGCCCGACCCCCCGGGGTCCCCCTCGGCGGGGCAGCCGTGCCCCACCTGCACCACGAGGCTGGCGCGGCCGCGGCAGAAGCGCTCCAGCATGCGCAGGAACAGGTGGGCCGTCTCCACCAGGTCCCGCAGGAAGCTGCGAGGCTGCTTGGTCTCATCGAACTTGCGGAAGAGCGTCAGGAAGAGCTCCCGGTATTCCATCAGGTAGAAGATGTTGCCTGGGGAGGAGGGGGGGGTTGGGTGGGGGGTGGGGGTCAGACACCCCACCCCGGGACGGGCGGAGGGACAGAGGGACTCACTCTTGATGACCTGGCTGCTGTCCCGCACCGCCTGCTCAGGGGACCGGTCCATCTCCTGCACCGTCCGCAGCAGCTCCTGGTACGCCTTCAGGGCCAAGTGCATCCTGGGGACGGCAGGGTGGTGACTCTGGGTGCCCGGGGGAGTCCCAGACACCAAGGGTGACCCCAGGTGCCCGGGGAGTCCCAGACACCCGAGGTGCTCACCTGCGGACCCAGGTTGTTGCCTCCTTCTTGTCCATCAGGGCCATCTCGTAGTACTTGGTGAGGTTCTGCTCGATGAAGTGGAAGGCACGGACACTCACCGTCTCCGACACCAGCTCCGGGCGGAAACCGCGGCGCCGGTTGAAGGCCATGAAGAAGGCGGTGGCCCACAGGTAATAGGTCTCATCGTGCTGCTGAGCCTTCTCCCTCACCAGCTGGTCCTGGGGGTGGCAGGGGGGTGGTCAGAGGGGGTCCTACAGCCCAGGAAGGGGGTCCCGGACCCCAGAGCTGCTCACCTTGACCAGCAGCATCAGGCGGTTGTAGCAGCCCTCCAGGAAGTCCTGGCAGAAGTGGCGCAGGAAGAGCCGGACGTTGCGGGCGGAGCGCCGGGAGAGCT